GGGCTGAGGCGAGGAGAGGCGAGGGGGGGGGCGCGGTGAGCAGAGACGTGGGGTGGAGGAGGAGGAGGAGGCGGCGGCGGAGGTGGAGGAGGCACTTTGGGGAGAAGTAAGGGCAAGATTATGTCAAGTGGAGGCCCCGGAGGCCCCAACCCAAAGGGCCAGTCCAAGGGTGGACCCAAAGTAAATGGCAACAACTCGAGTGGACAAGGAGGATGGTGGCCTGAGTGCACCTGTACCAACCGGGAGTGGTACGACCAGGTAACTTCCCTCCCTCACTCTTGTTACACAGTTCAGGACCTGTGGGGCCAGCAGGGGGAGACTTGGTTGTATGTTGTCTTAAAGCAGAGTCAATCTTAGTACATCAGCTGAATTTGTCTGGAAAGTATAGGTTTAGTATTCACTGCTAACCCTCCTTTTCCATTCCTTGACTGTGGTTCATTTGTTGCAGGCAGAGCAAAAGTAACAAAACAGGACAGAACCAGATTCAAGCACATGTACATGAACAGAGGAAATGATCATGTTTTAATTTGATGCAGATGACTAATGCTATAAATTGAACACACCTAGTGTGTGTCATCAGAGACTTATTCTCATGCAGCGACCACAGGCCAAAATGCAGCATTTTCCTCTGCTGAAGTAACATTCAGTCATTGTTAAGTTATCTCCTTAACCATAAATGTCAACATTGTGGAGCCAGCTGGCAAAAGATACCATTTCCCAGTAATTCTGATATAACCTGGTTGTAGTTTTGGATCTGAAAACCTCTGAGTTGATTAAATGAAATCCCAGTGTTTCCGTTTGTAATGACCTCGTTCAGCATGAAATTCTCTGTTAACAGAATGTGTGGTGAGAAAAATAGAGATTCAGCAGTAAAACACTCCCTGTCATACATGCAGTACAGACTAAATATAACCGTCTCCTCACATGTTCTCCCTATGGCCCAGAATGTCTCATTTTATTTACATTTATTTTCAAATTACAGTTGATATGAGGTCAGAAACTCGAAGCAAAGGCTTTAATTAAGGAGGGTGCACATATGAAGGCAGGAGAATGAGCTTGGGTGGGGGAAGGGACGGCTCAGCGACTCTGAGATTCAAGGAATGGTTCTTGCTCTGCATAAGTATGTGTGTTAGCGTATGATATTTTCGCAGCAAGTGAAGCCACTGCATTGCTTGTGCCTCCCCTTCATTATGTCTGGGCACATTTTTCGGAGGAATCAAGGGTCTATCAGAAGAAGAAGGGAGGCAAGAGAAGGCACAGGAGGAAAATGGAGGCTAAGATTTCTGTGGCAGTGAGGAAGACATCCCCATGAGCTGAGCTCACATATGAGTTGCATCGTAGCTGGCATTAGCAGATTGCCACAGCAATGAAGCAATCGCTTTTTTCTAGAGGCAAAAAAATACTAGACACCTTGTTGTTACATTGTTTATCTTTATACCTGTTGTAAACCATTTCCGATGCAGCCTTATCCTGACCACTCTACTGTATGTTATAAGCTGTAAATATAATTCACATAAACAAGCTTAGTTGAAATCAGGTGAGTGTTCAGCAGAAAATCTTTTTATGACGTTTTATTCATCATCGTCATTCATCATTTAGCTTGTACTCGAGCAAATGAGCAAGTGTTTAACTAAATATTGACTGATTGCATCGTATTGTGAATGTAATGTTAGTGAACCGGCATCCAATGATAGGTAAAGCACTCTAAAGTAATATCTGGTCCCATCTTTTCAAATGATTCCTACTTCTCTGCCTTTAAACCTCTGTCCTGGTTTGCATTTAGTAAATTATGTTAAAAAAAAAAAGATGATTGATGATGAGGCAGCATTTTGTGTGGTGAGAACGACAAGGCAGCAAAAAAGGAAGAAATAAGCCAATAAAAAGGGCATGCAGGCAGAGGGCATATAGAGTGGAAGGGGGTTTGGAAGAGGCAGCAGTTGATGGTAGTGATGCTGCTGATGCTGCTGCTGCTGCTGCTGCTGCTGCTGCTGCTGCTGCTGCTCTTAGAGAAGAAGCATCAAAAGACCCCGACACCATGGATAAGCATTTCTACTCCTAGCTTACAACTAGTATATGAATGACCACTATATGCAGCATGAGATGGAGATGGAGAAGCACACCCACCACCACCCCCACCCTCTGAGCTCCTTCCTCAGCCACCGTTGCTCATCCCCGGGTGGGAAATGTGAATGCTACCCCTCCCCCCGCTACATATACGCAGACGGAGAGCAGTAATCACACACGCCCAAACATACAGGTCTGTTACCATAAAGCCGTTTGGAAAATATAAACTCCTGTTTTTAGATGGTAGCAGGATGGAAGGCAGTGTAGTCTTTTTCAGTCATTCGGAATGTTCTGAGCTGGATGTGTCTGTCTTTCTGAAGATTCATTATTGACTTTTTTAAATGCTTCCTGTAGCCACGACCTCCATGTGTGTGTGAGAAAATTATCTGACAATCCAGGAAATAATGATAATGAATGATGGGTTTTTTTTTCAACTCCCCCTCCCTCTGTTGTCTATTTGTTTAATGATTGTGCAGCTTTATCAAAAGCTTGCTCGGTTAATTATGGATGATTCCATTTGGGATCATGAGAACATTCTTTATAACAAGAGTGTTTGAATTCAAATCTGAGAAAAGTAGAGACCTCAGTCCACGGGGAGCTGCAATCAGAAAGCTTCCTCTCTCCCCCCCGGGTTCCAATCTGTCTGTTGTGCGTTCTATACAGCTCTGCTGCCATCATTAGCTTCCATTATTGATTGGAATTTACTTTATTTATTAGCATCGATATTTGCTCCAAAAATCATCTGCCGACCAATATTTCATATTAGATCACTGGGTCAAATTTGGTTTGCTACTGTACTTCTGCAACAACAACCCAGAGAGTCCCATTGGATAGGATTCAAATGTCTTTCCATCTAAACCCCCTCTCTCTCTCCCACTCCCGCCTTCTAGGTGATCTGAAACCTGAAAATGCGTTGTTAGGTCACAACAGATATATCACAGGATCTTGGATAGAGGAGGGGTGACATTCTATCTTTGAAAGAGGAAATGTATATATTTTCTTTAAAGAAATGAAAATGATAACACAAAGTCTGCTGACATTTTTGTTACACCTGCAGGTGCCGTTCATGTCAGTGCATTCCATCTCTTCTGACACATAATTACTGCAGGGCTGTTTTAAGTGTCATGTGTGAGGTATGTGCTTCTTGGTCCATTTGATTGGATTTGTCTTAAGGATGATTTGGTGGGAATATGTCTGTGTAAATAAATTACAATTATTACTACCTTAAATAATTTAAACAATCTTAAATGAGCTGAGGACCCCTGTTGTCGCTGTTGTTTGATTGGAGGCAGCATCAGTGTTTGCTGTCAAGTAAAAGAAAAAGACATATATTTTTGACATCTAATTGACAAGTACTTTTGATCAAAATCTGATGGGCTTGTAGGGTGCTAGGCATTTAAGACCCCTGTTTTAAACCTTTCTGGCCATCACATCAATGCCTAAAAGGTTGTTGTTTTAAGAAGCTTCAGGATGAGCAAATAAAAGAAAAGATTGGTTCATCCCTGTTTTGAATTTCCTGAAAAAATACATTCACCTTTTCTTCGTACTCCGTGTTAGTTAAATTAACATGTAAACATAATATAACAACAAAATATTTTTGTTCTCAAATTTATGACTTTTACTTAAGAAGCCACACAGTAAGGTGACTGTTCTTCGTTTGTCTTGTTGCGCTCTCATATTTATTAGTATAATGTTTCATGTTTTATTATTTAGGTGAAGCTTTTGCTCTCTTACAGAAGCAGCTCTACATTTACTAAATTAAAAAGAAATAAGAACAAGGTGACTTTCTGACCAATAGGATATAAAGAGGTTCTCTTCAAGAATCCAAAACATAGAACCATTTAAAAGCAATTATTATAATTGGTTACTGGAAGAGTACGGTGGTGTGTCCATCTGCAGGGACACTGTCCTGTCCTTACTCTGAAGTCATTCAGAATGGTTACAACCTACTGTGTGGTCAGTCACCACTTGTCATCTGAGCACATGTCTGATGTCCAAGTATATCTGAGTTCACTCTTTAGTGTCAGTGTTGAGTTAGATTTTGTGTGAAGCAGCTGCTCCACCATGATTTTGTTTCTTCTTCTTCTCTCTCTCTCTCTCGTACCCAAACAAGTATTTTTAAGTTGCCGTAGGTGGCAAAATAGTCTGAATCAGCATAATTACTTCTACTTGTCTACGAACTGTAGTCAATTTTAAAACATTCAACTTAGAAACCTGCCACAGACGAGCAGAGAGTCCTGATTGTGATGCCGCGATCGTGTGTGTGTGAGCAGCAGATTTACAGGATGTCTTCTGTAACTACCTCAGAGGTGTTAACGCCTAAAGGAATCGTATTTCTGAAACCACATGACATGATGGTGATAAACTGCTTGCATGTGTACTGCAGCTGTTCAACCAATGTACAAGTCTTAGTATACTGTATGGGAATATTAAACATAGTGTAGCTGGACAACATTGTGTTTACATTACTGGACTTAAGTCACGCCTTTTTTACATAGCTGAATATTTAATTGAAATGTGCCTGTGGTGGATTCATTGCATGGTTGTTTTGGAATACTGGCAATGTTTGTTTGGTTGGGTTTTTTTTAGATGCCTTGGTAGC